GTATAAATAGTTCAATTAGAGTCAAGAGCATGCAGTGTTTCCTACTCAGAGAGGGGGATATTATACATGCATTAAAATAAGTTTATTGAACTTTACGTCACTCTTTACTAACACTTGGACAGATCAGTTCTGCTCTGCTGTGGCAGCTTTGGACTGGGGACTCCATTAATCCACGTGGGGCCACTGTGAAATAAGCTGGCCACTGTGAATAGCAGCTGGAAGTGAAAAGAAGCTGAGCTGAGGTGCCTGAGGCCCTCAACAACAGCATCTTCTTAGCTTGTCGTCCTTCTGCAGGGGTTGGGCTCCTGGCTCTGGCATTAGGAATTCTCAGTGTTTTGCATACTAAGCAAATTCTGCGGAGGGTCAAGACAGTGAAATTTCTTAGTGACATGGAAATTGTAGCCATGATGACGTAAGGACCAGCAGTGCACAAGAAGGGCTCTGTGATTGTAAGCTTCTCTGTTTTTCCTGACTATTCATGCTCATAAAAGTTGCTACTGTACTGAGAAACTGTGTCTCACCAAAGAACATGGAGATTCCAGCACAAAAAGAGCTATGATTTCATGCATATTTCAGTATATTTGAATTTTTTTTCAGCTTGATCTTTAATTCTGAGTCTACAGTGCATCTTCTTGTTTCTTCTAAGTTACTGGTGTCTATTTAACTCTTTCAGAATACAACATTCTGTCTAGGGGATGATTTTTCCTCTTAGAAGTACAATAAACGATGCAGTCCTTTCTTTGCTTCGGCTGTTTGTGTGTATGATTTGTTGTAAAATGCTATTAATTGCTTATTAGCACTCTTCAGGGCAAACGAACTGGCCTCGCATAGAGAAGTAGGTAACAGCACTGCCATTTTTTGTCCTTCTGGGAGTAGCCAGTAGTTTGCAATGCTTCCACCCCTAAAGAGATGCCAACTGCTTTAAGAACATTTCAGTCTCCTATTTTATCAGGCTCAACAGCCTGCTGCTTGAGTGCTTTATTAGCCTGCCTGCCAGGAATTGAATTGGGTCTAAATTCATCTGTGTGAGCATGCACAGTTAACAATGACATAATAATCCTTCCCTAGATGTTATACAGTAGGATGGAATGATTTGTCAGTGTCATGCAGGCAACGCTGGAAATTTAAAGAGTGCCTTATTCTGAATGAATCAAGCATGATTAAAATGAAAGCAATAAAGAGACGGGAAGAAAGGCAAGGGCTTATTTTTAGGGGCAGGAGCCTCTCATGAGCAGAAATGCTTGGTTTGTTTAGACAGCATTTATAGGTCATGCTGGTTTTCTTTACAGAAACACAGGCTCTACTGTATTCCATCATCTCCACTAACACACCTAAAATAAATCATTCATCATCAAAAGCCAATGGAAATAATTAGGATTTAACCATAGTTTCAAATAAGTTGACAGTGAAGGCACATCAGTCGTTTGTTAAATATAGGCAAGGTTTTCTTTCTGGATATTAATTAAATACCTTTTTAGTGCTACCAAGTTGCAGATGAGAGCTGATAATCCAAGCTGAGTAAGTGTGCCATCTTCCCTTCCTGGACACAGATAATTGGGCATAGACTGCATGTTACGAATTCCTAAGGAAAGACAGGCAATGCCACCTCTCAGTGGTGTTCTCCTTGGCTCCCTTGTTCTGCAGTCATCATTTCAGTTCTTCTTTCTCAGAAAATTCTCAGGCTCTTCATTCCTGCTATCTCATTACAGGGAAATAGAGATTAAAAAAAACCTGCTATGCAAATTCAGATAGATGGACATTTAGCATTATCTGATGGTATCTAGTTTACAGCAACACCTTGAAGGAAGTCAGGGTCCAGTGGAGGTGCAGGAAGGGATGTAGAAATTAGGTAGCTAACACGGATAGTGATTTCTTCAGTGTCAGAATACTGTATATGAAAAAATACTTTTTTTTTTTTTCTTAAATAAAGATGCACATAAGGTAACCTCAAAAGTGAATTGATTTTTACTTTGGTGATTAACATTACAATAACTAGAATTTGATGTATTTCCATTAAAATGATGACTATATTCTCACTGACTTCAGCATAAAAAAGGTCTGACCATTACAGAGACAGAGGAATGGGGAAGGTGGTTAATAACTGGCAGAAGTTGTTAGTTTCCGTAATGGAACAGAAGATTCTTTTATTAATCAGTGGGAAGAAGAACAGTAAAAAGATTAGAGATATAGGGAAGATAGGAAGCTCTTGTAATTGCATGTAACTGTAGCAAATCAACAGAACTGGTCTGGTGAGCAGGGAGTCTGGTCTGTGCAGTCTGAGAGCATCCAATTTGCACCTGCTCACCTTGCCAGCTCCCAGAATTAAGCTGTAAAAGGGGGCAACTGCAGCAGTGTGAATGGATGCCCCTGTACAGTAAGCAAAGTAAAGCAGCAGTACGAGTGCAAGCAAAAGATAAATAAAATCCTATCTCCATTCAGCTCTGATTGATATCTATAAATCAGTATAAATTGCTTGCAGCAGATGTGGTGACAGACAAAAGCTACCAGCATTCTACTCACTTTGCTCTACTGATGAGCACCTTGGAGTTTAATTTGTGGGGAAGGCTTTTCCAAATGTGGATGCATTTCACAAAGTGATGTTTATTGTTGGCAGTTGATAATGATAAGTGAGTATGTTGTCACTGCTTAAGCTATTTTGTTCTCTTTGCAACATTTCTTAGTGAATGAGGCGATAGAAACTTAAAGCAAATATCCATATTCAGTGCTACCTTCGTGGAATCTTCTTTAATGTAACAGGCTTAGGTGGCTTCACAGCTTTGGTAAATCTTCTAGGTTTTTGTATTTAACATACTTGGAAATCAAATTTCTTCCAGGGTACTCTTTCCAGTTTAATTGGAAATATTCCAGTATTCCATGAGCCTGTGGCATAGGAACAAAAGTGAAATCCCCTCCTGCTGCTCAGTTCTCCACATTACTGCAGGGTATGCACAGCCATACTCCTCACAGGGCACTCTCTCCTGAGAATTTCCTGACTTAAGCAGAGGAAACAGTTTCACTGGCAGTCTGAAATATCCCCAGGGACTCTGTTTGACTATGTCTCTGCTTTACATTTGCATTCCAGAATAGCAGTGTTTCTTCTGAAGGACTCGTGGGTCATTTGTAGATGATGAAGCTATTTTGGTGTTTCTCTTCCTCCTCTTTCTTTATGGATGCTGGGACTGGGATAAGCAGGGACTGCTATTTCAAAGCCAATTTGTATTAGACCTTAAAAAAAAATAATAAGTGAGAACAGGAAAAAAAGAAATGGATGTGGGAAAATCCCAACTGTTGAGCCAGAGCTGGTATAAATTGGTGTAGCTCCACAGTACATGTTAAGATGGGGAATGTTATGCAGATTTACTCCAGCCAACAATTTAGCACCGTTCTCATTTGTGAAAGAAAATGCTAGATGGAATTAAAATTCACAAACTAGACCTTTGCTGTGTGCTTAGTGCTATTCCAGTGAAGCACAATGTGATACATTTTAATAATTTAAGGCATCTTCAAGGAAAAGGAAAAAAAAAACCCAACAATAAATAGCTAAAACCCAGGCAAAGCAGCTGATTTGCAGGGTTTCAATCACTTTTAGAAAACAATTTTCTATTTTACTGGTCATGGAAAATTAATTGTATGTTTGATGATTTGTATCATGCTGTTGCGGTCTTCTCTTCATTTTTTGGCTCCGTATTCATTAATTTCAGCAAGTGTCATTTCTGAAGGGAACGGAATGAGCTGGGGGCCTCCCGCCTACATATCCAACTCTGTCATCATCGTTTTTAAATGCCTGTTCAGTAATCTGCTCAAAGCCTTTAAACTTACCTGCTTACTGTTGTTTGTTCTCTCCTCAAGTCACAGATGCAGATTGCAAGGGTATTTTGCCTGCACACACACGCATAAAAAATATGTATATATGAATGTACACATATGAATATATGAGAAGTACTTCAGGATTTGTTAAGGGTAAGACTAAGTGAGGTTTTTCACAGATGATGCTCTAGCCTCCTGTGCAGTTTAATGGACAACACTTTCATTCATAGAAGATGGAAGTGATGAACTGATGGGTAGTTGAAAGGTTTTCTTAATACATCTGGGATTTAGCAAAAGAACTCTAATGCTCTCTAGCAGCTTCTGTAAGAGGATCCTAAAAGTAATAAAAGATTATGTTATTCTCTTAAACCCATTGGGATTTTCCACGAGGGGCTGAGCAAGACTACCTGATGATTCTCTCAGCAGCTTCCAAAATGACTTAAAAAGTTGCTTGAATTTCCAGAAACACATACGAATGGATTTGTTATTCCTTGCAGCTCACTGGGCTTTGCTTCTGCCCTGGATTTCAGATTATCTGTGTAATTATCCTGGGTTGGTTGGTTTGTTGGTTGTTTTTGTTTGTTAGTTTTGGTGGTGGTGCTGGTGATTTTTTTCATAATTTTATCAAAAGATCTGCTAGGTCTTTTCATAACCTCTTTTATGTATTTATTCACTACTGCTGTACCATTTGAATGGTTCACAAATATTAATACAGAGGAATGAGTTAGGGAAATTCTGTTATCTCCTATTTTCTAAGCAAGATAATGAAAGCAAATCGAGGCAATGAAAAGTAAGAGTGGTGGTTTCACCAGGATCATGCAAGATGTTGAAACGAGGTTGAATGCAGCACATTGAGACCAACCCTGGCATGGATCTCTTCCATGTATCGTGGGGAATCCTGCAGTCAGTGGCAGTGGAATGCTGACTGGGATGGCAAAGACCCCTCTGTGTGTGCAACTGTTTCTCATTGCCTTCTGATTGACTCTGCTGTGAAAAGAAAACTCAGCATGTGGCAGTCTAATGGTCAACTTTGCCATGTTGGGCAGCTGAAAAGGGATGTTCTTTAAACCTTTTTGTCAGAAGTAAACTCATAACATACTTGAAGTTGGAGAATAGCTGGGAGGAGGAGGGGGCACAAAAGGAGAGCATGTCTTGCTCTTGTACTCATGGTTTCCTCTCTTTTTCTTTTTCAGTGAGTATGTTTTTGAACACGTTAACCCCCAAGTTCTATGTTGCCCTGACGGGCACTTCCTCATTGATCTCGGGACTTATTTTGGTAAGTACTGGATATTAATACTACTTTATCAATTTATTTTGTTATCCAGAATGGGATTTTAAACTTTGTGGGTGTCATTTTTTTTTTTAGACCTTTAATGGGTGCCATTTCTTCTTCTAATGTATCATTTCTGCAGTGCATAAATTTTGTACTAATATTTCTGTGGGGAAAAAAAAAGAGAAAGTACTTCATCACAGTATGCCTTAAAAGAAAAAAAAGCTGGAAGGACATTGTGTCCCACTAACAAACAACCCTATAATAAATCAGAACAAGTGCTTTATGCATTAAGTCTTTCCATTGACAGGTACTACAAAAATAAAGAGAGTGGTGATAAGAAGAATGGGAGATGCACCATCTCTCTCAGCTTAGCCTGCTCCTATTAGAAAGCTAAGGCAGGACTTATTAGAGGAAAAGCAAACAGAATGGTAGCAGTGAACCTACTTTTAGGGCCAAAATTCAAAGGGATGATTATTTCAGATCTTCACTATTATAATCTTTCTCAATTTATGTCTGCCTATTTGTTTAAAGGTCTAATGAATATTTTCAAACGCCTTAAAAAAAACCTTCTCCAGAATATAATACCTGAGGGCTTCAGCACACATATTGATATAATGGAGCAAATCATTATGCCATCATAGCACAGGAGTACAAAAAAAGCATTTGCTCTGGATTTTGCTCAGTATTTTCACAGAAACAAACTGAAGTTAAAAATAATCTTAACAATCCCTAAGGTGTACTTAGGATATTGTGCTTATGTTGGGCCTTGATAATGAGTGCTGCCTTTTAACTGACAGAAGTGAGTGTCATCTTTGCTTTATTTCACTTTGTTCAATCAGCCTTAGGTCCTGTGTCTAAAACCAAATGCGTGCTTTTAAAAACTGCTGGATGAAAACTGTAGACCTTCCCTCCCCATATCAAACCAGGTGCTTAATTGTAAGACCAGAAGGCCAGTTTTAGGTGTTTAGTTACAGTGATGGTAAATGGAAAAAAGGAAACATCACCAGGAGCTGGTTAGCATCACTGTGTATCTGCTGACCTCAAAGGAATTCTCACTTACTTCCACACTACTTATTGTAGATGTAGATAGAGAAATGCCATCCTTGACTCCTAAATGCCAATGAGACTCATCACTTAGATGATTTCAGGTATAAAGCATCAGGTGCACTGCTGCTCTGCCTTGCTCTGGGGCTTACTTGTAGCAGAAGGCAATTACTTAATGTTTGTATCTTGGGCATTCATCATGGTTGTATGGATTGAACCCCAAAGCACAGGACAGAGCTCTGGAGACATCGGTTCTTTCACAATATGAACACTGAGGCTCAGGAGCCAGACCTATAAGACTTGGGTTCTGTTCAGTGCAGTTCACTTACTCAAATGCACAGCAAGAGGATACTGAATGTAAAATTCAGTAATCTCAATAATCTCACCCAGAAAGAAGAAGGATTCAGGAGGCCAGGTCCCACCAACAAGATGCTGAGGAATGAGGGAAATACGTGTGTTCCACAGGCACAATTTAGTACCTGTTGTTGGATAGTGAGGACAGCTGGAGGAGTCAGCAAGAAAAAAAGAGCCTGTGTCTATGGAGATAAAGAACCAAACAGGAGCTAAGACCCTAGAGAAAGACTAAATTCTCTGTAACTAAATTCCCTGAATATAGCATGATTACAGATGTAGTATACTTTGTGCTGTAGTCATGAAGGCAACCTCTGAAGAATGAGCTCAGTAAGAGACTTGTGAGCAAGAAATTTCTAAGTGCGATACTTTGATGGAAAGTACAAGAAGCAGGTAGGATGTAGTGATGATATGATGAAGGGGGAAAAGGGCATCTATAGAAGAGATGAAACTGAGTGATCCCTAGCCAGAAAAATTCAGTAAGTGGTGCATGACAAAATTCTTTATGAGTAAGTTAAAGGAGCAGTGAAGTGATGGATGTGTAGACAAAGACTTAAAGAACACTAAAAGCCTGTTCTGTGCTGAAAGCCTTTTTCATGGGGCTTTGCTACTACTGTCAGTTTTTGTCTGCTGCTTATACGCCACCATCCTGTATGTGCGAAATTTAAATAGGCCAGGTAGCTGACAACCAGTAACCAGACTGTAGGGACCAGTGTCTGTGCTGAGGGGAACGTGTGGTCTGTAAATTCAGTGGTGGAAACAAACTCAGCTGAGATGGTCTTGGAAAGAAGAAACTGCAACTTGAATAGCCAGGCATCAGGAAGGACAGGTGGGTAGATGCTGGAGAGGTAGTGCTGGCTAGTCACTAGCCAAGTTGTGCTTCATATTTATTACTTCTTCATAATCTTGCTGTTTACCAATGGCCCTGTAACACACTGAATGTACCACCACCCACTTATCTGTCACACAACACAGCATCTGCAATTCTAAAGATTCTTAGTCCTGCTGATAGTATAATATGAAACCTTTTGTAAAATAAACATTCTCTTCACAAATATACATTGCCAGGGTATCTGTCAGACTAGATGTTCTAATATTCCTTGGAATTTTCCACCATATGGTCTGGCTGATTTCTTTCCATTATTGGTTGGCTACAGTTCCTAATCAGAAAGAGAAATCACAGCTCTGCAGGTTGTGAAATGATGGAAAATTCCATCATTTCAGAAGTGTGGTAACTGGTGGGAAAGTGAATGCTTTTCCTATTCCATGTTTGGATCACAAAACAATGATTCTGCAGAGTTCAGTTTGGGGAATTGCATGCTACGTGACTCCTTTGCAAAACACTCCCCTCCTGTCTTATTTTGTGTCTTACTTTGTTTTCATTCTTTAGGTAAAAATCTGGCCTAACTGTAAGTAAAGTGATATGATGCAAGAATTTCAGATCCCTTATCTTGTCTGGATAGCACAGAACAATAGCACAGAAGTCTTTTCTATTTCAACTATCTTCCATAATAATTACTTTAGAGTACATAGCTTAAAATGAACAATTTAGCAGATATTTAATTCATCCCTGCACTATTTTAGATGTTAAAAATAGAAATCAAATTAGGTCCCAAGCTGCAGTTTAAAATATTGTGTTAGAAACTTGATTCCACCACAGTTACTTTCAAATTAGTAAAAACATGGTTCTCACTCAAAGAATACAATCTTGCTGTATTTTACCTGGCATCTTAAGAAAGGCTGAAGTTTTTCCCAGGTAGGGCAACATGAAGCACAAGTGATGTCCATCAAATGCTGCAAGCTGGAACTGTGTTTCTGCATGCCACTGAGGTTTCCCAAGAAGGCTGCATATGTAATATGTCAGCACCAGAGTGAAAGTTGTATAGTAAAATAGTAGTGGCACTATTGCAAACCGATAGAGTCTCAGTTCTGACGAATCACAGGCAGCAATGAATCTCAGTTTTGAATGTCAACCAAGAATGCTTTGTTTTTTTATTCAGGGATAAATAATAACCTTTTTCTTCTACACAGAGAGAAACATTCTGCAATAAACTAAACAAATACCAGGCTTTTTGGAGATAAGAATTAGCAAGGCAGCCAACACAGAGGTAGAGCATGAGTGCTGAGGCTATACTTCCTAGTCTTGAGCAGCTGGGCTGTCTGCTGCAGCCCAAGTGCAGGCACAGTCTGTGTGAGACCCTATTGCAGGGGTGCTAGTAGAGGATGTCTCAAAGAGGACCTGAATAGCACAGAAAGAGCCTGTCTTTTATATATATATATATATATATATATATATATTTAAGATATTAAACATTCTTCTGCTTGTTTCATTACCTTTGTGTAGTCTGCTGCAGAGAGGCAGAGAGGTGACTGTTCTCAGTGGACTAAATAGCTGGGCGTTCCCAGCATTTCCTGGAAGTCTGACAGTTGTACAAGGACAATCTTTGGCAGTTGAAAACTGGCACATGGTAGTTGTTCTGAGTTTCTGACTTGCTCAGTGGATGCTGACAGGTCAAGGAGGGCAAATTTGTCCGTAGGAGAGTGTTCCTAAGAAACTGAAAGTGTTTGCCACGTAACAGATGAGACAGGAAAAGTCTGTAGGAGGGCAGTCTACTATACCTAGGTCTACAGACAACTAAGTGAAGCCTACCCAGTGCAGAGAGAAATATTAGGCCGTATATTTCCAGAGGCAGGTAAAATATAAGTAAATAGGTATTTTGAACAAGCTGGTTGTTAGCAATGTATGTATCTATTCTTTGATTTAAGGAGTCCCAGAACCAGCAGTAGAGGCTAAGGAGATGCTCAACTGATGAATTTCATCCAGAAGGAATAGGGCTGCACTGCCTTCAAAACTGTCATTGAGGACACTAAGGGCATGGTCAGAGGCAAACTTTTTCTTAGAATCAGGTTGGGTAGGACTGTAGGATCTGTGTGTGTCAACTGGCTATCCCTAGGAGCAAAATAAACAGATTTTAAATAAACAGCCAAGGGGCTTTCTTTGTTCAAGAGCATTGTATAGTCACATCCAAATGGATAAAACACTCTTGCCTCCCAAAACAGGGATCTTTTCTGTACTGTCTACTGGAAATAGCCTCTGGGCTGTGATATCCCTAAAACATGCCCAGTCATTGTCTGGGAGAGTTGGCACAGGCTGGGCAGTGTGCTAAAAAGCAGCTTGGATGACTGAGCCAGTCAAGCATGTGCTGCTCTCCCATCTTATTTATCTGAGAGGCTTAACCATTGAATCTTCTGCTATCATTATCCTATTCCTCAAGGGAGTAAGCCTCAGTTAGATCCATTAGATTGGTTGTTACCACCCCTCAGATTACAAGAGTATTCCAGTCCTTACTCCTCAGAGACCTAGATGCCTAATTAGAAGTCTGAATGAGAACTCTGAGCTGTGAAAGTTGCCTGCAAGGAAATTTCTTACTGTTTTGGTTGAAGACACAGTACACACTCTGGGTGAGGACTACAGAGAGTATTTGCTGTATAAGAGAGGATTCCTGTCTTGGATATGATAAACAGGAAAGCATAATTCATATAACTGATAGACATCGCTATTTAGTCCACTGAGAACAGCCATCAAAAACATCCCTTGTGAATTGATGCATTTCTGGTGGAGTATCTGGTCTGAAAAACGAGGCAGGAAGATCTGATAAGCCAAGTGATGCAGAATATGTTTGTTGTTACACAGAGAGATAAAACAGTCTGGGATTGCCTGCATGTGAGAGCAGAGATATGAAAGAGAATGGGTTTTTTCGTAGCACAGGGGAAAAATAGTACTTGCATAGAGAAGCAAAGGCAAAAAAACAAGTCTATAGTAAGTATCTGAAATGCATTAAGAACAAGATTTTAACTTGGTCTTTGTGAAAGCTTCAGAGACCCCTTGAGAGTCCAGAGATATTTGACCCTGTTCTGATTTGAAAGTATATTCATGTATATGAGAGAAATGTATCATGGAATCACAGAAGTGTTTGGGTTCAAAGAGACTTTAAAGATCATCTAATTCCAAGATTCCTAATCCCCCCATGGCAGGGGCACCTTTCACCACCAGTACCTTTCGCTAAATGGGGCCTCCTTTGCTTTCAGAGGCAGTGCAGTAAAATTTTTCTCCCCACTTTCCTCTCTGATCCAGATCTCTTTCTGTGGATAATTAATCCTTGTAGTTAGCTATTATTATGCCAGATGATCTCTCATCTGATCTGTCAAAAGCTTGTTGGATTCACATTGCTTTTGAACTGTCTGCTATAGCTAGAAATCAAATTTGATTTGTAGAAGTCAGGTTTCAAAACTGCTGACACTAAGAAAGGTGCAGAGATTCTGTGCAATTTATTGTTTTGACTTCAACACCAAATTACAGATGATCCTCTCGTATACCTTGAACAAATAACTCCAAATAAAGACTTATCGTGATGATTTATGGCTTCATTTTCTGAGAGACTGTATGCACTGAGATCTAGTTGACATTCCCTAGCTCTAGATTCACTCAACAGTGCAAATATTTTAAAACTTTAATTCCCTTCTTTGAGCATAATTCGTATATTTTTAAGTCTAGGGAGAAACTTGCAACTACATCAGATACTTTGACAAGTTTCTGTCACTCAGCTGCACTGTAGCAGTCACCTTCAAACATACATTCTTTCTGCTTGTATCCTAGTTTCATTGAAATTTAGTGTGACAGTTTCCCAACTTGTATACATTTTTCCAGTGTAAATGGGGTTCAAAGCACTTTCTCCAGGTTTTGTTGACTTTTTATGTAAAAGCTGATTAGGAGTGAAATAATGATGATGATGATGATGATGATGATGATGATGATGATGATGATGATGTAAAGGAATTTAGTACATTATGATTTTGTAATTTTTTTTTTTTTTTTAAAGGCAGGTTTTAAAGGATGAAGCTATGTTGATACAGTCTATTGCTGAATAGTTGAGGGTAACTGCTTGGGCAGCTGTACTTTGGCCCGTGATTTTGTTACAGATTTTGTTGTTTTGTGATACTCTTACTTGGTGTCCTGTGTCTCTGTACAAAACCATAATCTTTGATTCCTGCCCTTGGAGAGGCACAACTGTGGCTTCAAAGTTTCCAAAGACAGAACAAAAACACGTATTCACAGCTGAGCTGTTACTATATCTTATGGCACAGTCTTTCTTTGATGATTGGGTATGTGTTGGCTGCTTAAGTTATGAAGTTCTCTTGGATCATAAGATTTAAATTCTAACCCCTTAGGCAGTGTCAGTAAGGGCATGAGAGCAGCTAAAACCGAAGATTCACCTTTAGCACCTCCCCAGCTGCCACCTCTGGCATCTGGAGAAAGGCAGGCAGCGCAGCGATGGGTGCCTGGGAAGTGCACAGGGCAAAGCAGGGACCGTGATATTTCCTAACAGTTCTGCCCCGGCTCACAGGATTCCCACCATGGTGCTCCTACAGGTTTATCCTAGGGAACGAGTACGGCGACAAACACGCTGTGAAACCTGAGTAGGAGCTGTGGGGCTATACATGCTGTGGGGCTTCTGTCGATTTGCCTGGAATGCAGAGTTCACAGCGATCTGGATGCGTTTATGTTCTGATTTCTCTGTGTGCATCTTTCCAGATGACCTTTGTGTGTTCGCACAGCCCTTCTGCCGTCCCCACACACCGAACCCCCGGCCCCACGTCTGATTCGGTTGTGTTGCTCTTGGCGCGCAGACGTTTTGCTGAGGGTGGTGGTGCAGCTGCAGAGCCCTTTAGGCTGCACTCCTTAGCACTGCGTGCGCACTGGCAGATTGTACAAAGCCGTTTCCCTATTTGTACGAAGCAGTCCTCATTTCCAAAGGTTTTTTTCACGTCCACAAGCCCCCTTTCTGAAGCGCCCGGCCGGACCGCTACCCAGGGCGCGGGCTGTGGCGGGGCGGGGCGGGGCGGGCTTTGCCGGCGGTCACGAGCGGCGCGCTGACGTGCGTGTGTGTGTTGCAGATCTTCGAGTGGTGGTACTTCCGCAAGTACGGGACGTCCTTCATCGAGCAGGTCTCGGTGAGCCACTTGCGCCCTCTGCTGGGCGGGGTGGACAACAGCGCGCCCAGCGCGGCCAACGCCGCCAACGGCGAGGCGGACTCCAGCAGGCAGAGCGTGTCAGGTGAGCGCCGCGCCGCGCCGTGCTGTGCTGTGCTGTGCCAGCGGGGCTCTGACGCTTCTCCGAACGGCTTTCTCTGAAATCAGATAAAGCACAGAACTGCCGCAGTAATTGCTCACCCTGATCCCTTCTTTCCAAATGAGTCCGCTGTGTGTTGCACGGTTACCAGCACGTCTTCCTGCTTGCTCTGAACCCCGAGGGCTCGCTCTGCTCCTCTGCTGCCCTCTGTGTCTCTGGGCAAGGCACAGAACTGGGAAATGGGGAAATGTGTATGAAAAGAAGATATTCAGTTGAGGAGAATGTGTTGTAAAGCAGCTGAGCTATTCCTGTCTGTACCTGGCAGCTTTCACTTCAGCGTTCCTCGTGAAAACAAGCAAAGAGAAATTAGCTTTGAACTCAAAAGTTAAATAAAGTAAGCAGCCTCAAAACCCCTTGCACTCTGCTGGGTATTTCCACTTAGGGAAGCCTTCATATAGCACTGCGAAGTCAGCTGCTGTCATTCCCATCTGAGGAGAGGCCACGAATAGCAGCACTGCGTGGTGCAGGATATTAGATTTGGGTGAACTGGCAGAAAGCGTAGGATGGCTTGGAAACACCTGTGTGCACTCATCAGCGCCTTCAGTCATGCTTCAGCAGCTCTGAAATGACTCTGGGCATTTTAAAGCAGAAGGCACAGTATTTCGGCTAATGAGGCTCAGCCAAGGCATCTCGACTTGCTGATATAAAGAAGCAGGGAGGGGATGGCTCTGCCTTCAGTGCACAGGCACACAGTGCTACAGATTCCTCAAACAGAGACTTTGTGCAGCGTGTCTGTGAGAACCTGCTGTTCGTGCCTTCAGAAAGATATGGATGCTCAAAACCAGACCATTGAATAAGGAGCTCAAAGAGTAACATTCAGTAAATCTGAACTGCTTACGCAAAATGGGAGCATAGGTATAGTGTGTTATATTAAGTTGTAATGGAACAGGAAAAGCAGCCTTCTGAGCCCATCATGAATCCACACAGGGATATTTCTTTCACTGCCAAGCAGAGTGAAGATGGCTTTTGTACTTGGTTCACCATGTTTCCCCATGTAGATGTGTGGCTGTTGTAGAATACTCCAGTAGGTACCTTTGCCTTTGAGAACACTGGAAGAACAGTTGTACTAAAACCACAGTACCAGCAGATACCAAGACAAAAGCAGCAAAGAGCACATCGTGCCTAACTAGCCAGACAGGTGCCAAGCCCAGGACAGAAGATGGTAATATACCTTCTGAGCTTCCCCTTCTTGTTCCCCAGCTCCCCTGCTACAGTGTTTCTGTGCTCCATTAGAGTCCTGTTGCCTCAGTCTGAATAAGCTGAGGGAAAAGGATGATCAAATAGCTGTTGCCAAATACTGTTTGTTGCAGAGTAAGCCAAGCCTTTGAACTGTAGCTCTGGTTTTGAGGAGGCTGATATTAATTTAATATTTACTGTGTGTTGAAAGTTGTATTATGAAAAGCTGTCAGACTGAAGCTTGTCAAACAGCCATACCCTCTGGCTGCACAACTGAACAGCTGAATTCTGATTGAGTGCTTCTGCTGAGTAAACCAATGGAGCTTTCCAACACTGGTTACCCTGGAGTGGTTGGCTGAAAGGCACAGACGCATAATCAATGCTTTTATTCTTCCCAAACAAATTCCCTTCCCCATGTCAGTGCTTGATGCACGTTATGCAGTGCAGGGACCAAGCTGAAGTCCTGCCACCTATGCTGCCTGACTTTTTGTGTAGCTGTGGCTTTATATTATTGCAAACAATTTCTGTAAAATGCTTTCTCTCCTTGATACTCGAGCCTCATACTCAGAAGTGCCAGGTCCATGAAAACAGAGGAAGGCTTCCCCTGTCATTTTGTCTGGCTCTTCAATGGACCTGACATAACTTATGAGTGTTGTATGAAGTAGGATACATATCCTGCTGACTCAATATACTTCTTGAAAACTGCTGCAGTGATTTGTTTAGAAATGATGTTATGGAACCTCTTTGTGAAAAATGTGCTGGTTGACATTTGGTGGTGGAAGGCAGCCAGCAAAATGCTGCAGGTTCAATTCTCCTGATGGGATTTTGCAGAGCAGTGGATGAGAGGTCATCCACTAACATGGCAAGGCAGCACTGGGTTTCACAATGAGCCTCTGAGTCCTTGTTGCAAATGCTGAGTTCATTCTGGCCTTAGCTTTGCTTAAGTGAATTGTCTTCATTGAAATCAAGAGAACAAATCTGGTGTTTAATTAAAGTAACAGAAGCTGTAATTAAGATCTCAGCTTTTCAAAAGCTATAGAATCTAATTTTATGATTTTTTTGGAGTTCTGTTCTAAATGACTTTTTTTTTTTTATCCCTTCCTAACCTGTAGCATTAAGAATTTGCAATTATTATTATTTTTTTTTTTTTCTCTGAGAGACATGGATGAAATACCAAAACTTTGCAATGGACTTTTCTCTGCCAATCAACTTTAGACTACTTTTTCAACCCTGGGGTGCTTATAATTTAAGTAAGGTTAGCAGATGTTGCCATGGATAAGCTAAGGAAAGATTAAAATTGGCAGTTGTAGCTGAGGTTTTCAGTGATTTACAGTATCAACTAGGCAGTGAAGTTCTTCCGTAGGAATAACAAGTCCATGGGGATGGAGTTAATTGCTGTTTTTCAGTGCAGTAACCCAGTGTGAGCCCTTTTCAGATCTGCCTTGTGGTAAATGTGAGTCCCAGCACTAATCAGTGTTGTTTTCACCTGGCATTTGGTGCTTTGTTGGATGTTATTTGTCTGGAATGATATCATTTATTAACACTGACTTATAATGAAATTATCATTTTAAAAGAAAAGAGCAATCAGTCAGGTTGCCTGTATCTCATACTCTTTATTTTTTCCATTTGTACCTATAGAAAATAAAATGGGATTGTTAAGGCTCATTAGAAGATAACCAATGTTTCTGATAAACCTCAAGTTTTAATTTGGGAGAGATACATTGTTGTGTGTTTCTATTTATCACAGAATGCAAAGTCTGGCGAAATCCTTTAAATCTGTTCAGAGGAGCTGAATATAACCGGTAAGTGCCCTGATGTTACAGGTACAGTATTGGGTTAAGGACCTTAATTGTACATTTCCATTAATCTAACTCAGCAACAGAAAAACTGCTGTGGACCCTTTTGATCATGCCGGGCTCTCCTATAATTTGTGAAATGTTTCTGAAGGAAAAGGAAATTGAATCCATACACATGCACCTGTTAGTTCTGTAATTTTTGGTGCGTTGGAAAAACTGGAAAACCTCAGTGCAGTATCATCTGGCACATTAATACGTGGCAGTAATTCTGTTCAGATCAGCTATAGCAAACAACCTAATGAATTGTATCTAGATTTCATGTGGTGTTAGTGTTTGAATAGGTGTGTTAGCAACTGCCAGTAATTACCTCCCACCATCCTCACTAGCTTATGTTCAGCTACTGTAGCTCCATCACAGAACAGTGAAATGCAGTGTGTTGGTTAGGAGTTTGGCTCCTTAGAGGGTTATGCCTGTCTAACAGCTAGGATTCTTCTTTCCTATACGTTTTGCTGAATGTGACTTCATTAACCAAAATGTCTCCTTGTTGGCATGCTTGCAGGTATACATGGGTAACAGGAAGAGAACCTTTGACTTACTACGATATGAATCTTTCAGCACAGGACCATCAGACATTCTTTACATGTGACACGGATCATTTAAGGCCTGCCGATGCCAGTAAGAGACTTTGGGAACAACCATTTTTACCAGTAGGTTAATGATTACTTTGAACTGCTGCAAGAAAAGTACAGTCAGACATCAGTTCTCTCAGGCAGATGAGGAAGACAAAGTTTGGTCATGCCTGAAAAGCTGTTGCTGTTCTATTACCAATATGCTAGATTTGTACAAGACTCTATGTAGGTATAAGCTCTCAAGTTTGTGTCACTTTTATTTCTGCTTTCTTTCTGGAGTCGTTCAAGGTACCACTTACAAGCGTAAATAAGAATTTATGTTTTCCTCCCATTTCTTGCAGCAGTTCCAAACAGATATAGCTTAATTTGCCTCCAGCTATACTGTAGTAATCTGAATTACATTATCCAGGCCCCATTTAGTCTATGCTGACAGAGACAGAGGAGAGCTTATGTAAAACCTGAGTCCTGTACTTTATTCCCTGCTGTAGTTAGAAGCTGTGTAAAAAAAAATGAGAACACATTTAGAAACTAATTTCATTTAAGCAGCTTTAGTTGTATTAAGCCTTTATTGTTAAGTCCAGATGCATAGTTCAGTTCAGCTTAAAATGTACAACAATTATTTTAATAATCAGAATTTGCATCTGAAGAGACAAATCTTCTTTGTCTCTTAGGACAGAAGAAAAACTGACAGTTGGGCACTATATTCTGTGGACGTAATTACAAAGGAGAACATACTGTGCTTTTTTGACACAGGAGAAACATGAATCCTATTTTCTGAATACCATGGGCTAATTATGAGGTCATATTAATTAGCCTGAACGTTGTCTCATTTAACATAACTCCTAAAGCAACTGCACATTAAGAACCTGGAATAGGAACCCCAACTATCCTTGTATTCTTTTGTGCCCCATGGAATCTACCTCCCCAGGAAGAAAAAGCTGCTTACTCACTCTGCATATAACAGTGCAGATGGCACAATCTCTCAGTCCGATTTTCCCATGGAAAACAGGTGATTAAATGAAAGAATAAGGCTCAGCATTTGGTTGTATGTCTTTTGACTGATTGCTGAGGTCTTTGAAATATTATGCGGTGAGTCAGGCTGAGAACAGTAAATTTTGTTGTTAAAATGCAGTAGATTTTCCTTGTTAATGCTGTAATGACTGATATGCCCCTTTTCTGCATGGTTTATTGAATAGTAATGCAAAAAGCCTGGAGAGAGAGAAACCCCCAAGCCCGAATTTCTGCAGCACATGAAGCTTTGGAATTGAATGAGTGAGTGACAACATTAACATTTATTTTCTGTCATTTAAAAATCCATTTGATGATAGCTTAGGGCAGGGGTTTTACTACAGTAATTTTTAACCATGATTACTGGCCTGCCACAGGAAGTCCAGCAGTGGGAGGAAAAGAAGCACAGCTGTATGTGGTGCTAGCCACCCAGAAGATCCTTAGGGCACTGATGACAATAGGGTGTTTTCACATTGATGTCAGCGGGCTTTGGATCAGGCCCTGTGTTAGCACAGAAAAGTGTTAATTATGTTGCCTCCTGGTAAGTCCATGATATTTTTATTTATGGGATGGAGACAGAGAGTTCCCTTTTGGATTTCTCAGTTGTCCTGAACAGAAGCAAGAAAGTAAGGGACTCGTAAACACTTCCTGAAATATTCATTTGATAGTGTGAAGGAAAATGATGTAATATTTTGGGACTTTTGTTTTTTCGGTCTATTATTTATTTTCCCAATGAGAAATGTAGCATTCTGAGATCCCGCAGTAAACTCAGTGCTGTGAGGCTTTGCTGGCATGGCATACTGTACAAATGTTGCCAAAGTGCATAAAGTAGAGAGACTCCCTTAGGTTGCTGTCAGAGATTACTGCATGCTAGAATTGCATAAACTGATGCCTTACAGATTGTCCTTTGCTAGTTTCATTAGAAGGAAAAAAATAAATGTTTGTTCCTGGGCCACAATTTAACTGACAGAGCATGTAGCTTAAAAGGCTTTAGCAAGCAGTGAGCTATACACCTATTCCATTCTACTCACATATGGAGTCTTATTTTCACCCAGGCTTGTTTTTACCACTTCCTCAATAGATGACTGTGTGAAACACAGCAAGAGGTGACAGCAGCAGCCTGATTCCATTTCTGTATAAACAAGGATCTCATCGTATTAGCTGCTTGTATCAGAAAGAAATCAACATGCTGTATCCCACCTAACTTCAGCTGTTTAAGTTGTATCTGTCAAATCCAAAGTAGTTACCTCGGCTCCTTGTATAGCAATGGGAGAAGCTTCTCAACTCAGCATATCATCATGTTTTTAGAGAGAGATTTAAACAGGTGAAATGAATGGCTTTGTGAAGATGTTCCTTAAAGGAGGAGGAGGAACACAGATAGTTCTAAATTAGATGGTTGAAAGCTGAGTGAAGTGATTCCCCCCCTGCATTTCACCTTTTCCTGTATTCCTAAAATAAATTTCTTAGTTATCATTTTATGGGGAGGATCTCTACAATTACATTCATGATCTGATATTTGAAAGTGCTATAGATCCGTGGGCCAGCAGTGTGCCCTTGTGGCCAAGAGAGCCAGTGGTACTCTGGGGTGTGTTAAAACAAGCATGGCCAGCAGGTGAGGGAGATGATCCTCCCCATGTCCTCTGTCCAGCTGAGGCCTCATCTAGAGTACTGACAGAACAAGGGGCAACAGGTACAGGCTGTACCACAGGAAGTTCCATCTGAATATGAGAAAAAACTGCAAGGCTGACAGAGCACTGGCACAGGCTGCAGAGAGAGGTTGTGGAGTCTCCTCCAGAGATACTCAAAACCTACCTGGATGCTTTCCTGTGCAAACTACTGCAGGGAACCTGCTTTAGCAGGGGGATTGGACTCATTGATCTCCAGAGATCCCTTCTTTTCATATCATTACAATAATGGAAACATTTTATGTTAAAACAGTTCATTAAACCGGTCTTGATCTCTGATGAGTTTTAGTCCATATTGCGTAGTGAAACAGTGCTTTACTTCCTGGGACATATTTCAGTAGGTTTACTAGGGCAGCTGCATGATAGAGTATCAACACATGAAAATCACGATCTGCTTGCCTGAGTATTTACAAAGGGTCACAAGAAAGATGTATCACTAAAATTCGTTTGCTTCCATATTCAATACATGATTGACTGTCTGCATATCTTTGTACAGTTTTTACTTCTTGCAGCTTTCTCACGGTTCTTCTTTTGACATTTCTGCAGGTGTGCTACTGCCTATATTCTTTTGGCTGAAGAGGAAGCAACAACTATTGTGGAAGCAGAGAAGCTGTTCAAGCAAGCTCTGAAGGCTGGAGAGGGCTGTTACAGACGCAGTCAGCAATTGCAGCATCATGGTGCCCAGTATGAAGCCCAACACAGTAAGTTTCTTTGGAAGAAACAGCTGTTTCTAAAAAGGGAGAAATTTTGGTAGGGTAGCTTTTCTTTGTTACCTCTCAGAACAATGTGCTTGGGATTTCATGTTGGCTACACTATGGCCATAGGCTGTATTTTTTGTCATTGTTTTCGCCTGATTCTGTTACTGAGTTGGCAGTACTCAGAATACAGATACATCTTTTCTGTCATGGCAGAAAATGCAAACCATTTACTTAACAGAAAATGGAATGCTGCAGAGCCAAAAGCAATTTGATATTCGGAAGATTCTAGAGACTGTTAGGAAGTTGAACTAAAATGCCATTAGCCATTTTGAAAACATAAGCTCATGTGAAAAGACAGTAAAGAATAGCAGAAACAGAGGTGAGTTGGTGCTTTGCCAGCTTTTTCCATCATCAGTAATGATAAATAAGTACACCACACTGTTGTGTGAAAGTTAATGAGATTCATTCGCCAGTGTGACATTTGAAAAGTTAGGTGCATACATTAAGAAAGGTCATGGAAACATTAACAACTGGAATAATGTAGTGCTGCAATTGATGCTCTAGGTTTTTTGCTCTTTTTTTAAAAAAATTTTATTGTGGAGATTTAGCTGCTGTAATGATATTTGCTAGACGCTTCTTAATTCTAAGAAAATACATAAGGTTACACTGCCAGTAAAAGAACAGAAAGATAAATAAAACGAACAGATCTAGGTTAGTTCGAGTCTACAGTGACTACCTCAGGCAAAAATAATACCAGTGAATTACGTAAGTACAAGCACTGACATATTTTGGGCATCTGTAACCTTCTCAGGACTTGGATTCATAGCCTCTGGCTGTGTCACATAATTCGAAGATTGCAGATAAAAATTGTACAAAGTGAAATTGTCTGTCATCTCTGGTTTCAAAAGTGCACACAAGTCTATACCTGAAAGCCTGAGGTTTTATAAATCTTGGAGGTGGTATTTTAAACATTTGTTGGATATAAAATGATATTTAAGATGATACATTTATGATTATTTGCTTATATTTGGAAAAAAAACAAATGAAGAGCAGCTGAGCCCTTGAAGCAGTTTTCAGGTTCTAGCAGGCTGTCCATGAAACTTTAATTTGTGCACTCAATCCATTATAAGCACAGAAAAATGCCAGCAATTCTGTGGATTTATACACAATAAGACTGTCACAATTCTCATGCTGTTGAGCTATGTCCAAGATATATTAAGTTTGTGTAAGCAAATTTAAGTGTGGTATCTTCTTAACTGATGTGTGTTATAGTATGTATCACTACCATCATCATCAAGTTTGACACCCTGAACCTCCAGATTTACAGCAGAGTAAGCAGTCAGCTGAGTCTCATAATTAAGAAAGCTATCATAGAGTAAGAAGGGCTAAAGACTGACTGCCAGCTCTGACTGTTGCTTGGTAGAGGGGCTAGATTGTCCTACCCCTCTGCCTTCCTATGATAATTTCAGCGTGCACCCTCAGGAGTTAGAGAAACTCCATCTACAGAATGTGCCTTATACACAAGGACTTCAGGTAGAAATCTTTGGATTAAATGCTGCATTTACGTAGTTTGAAAAGATGAAGACCTCAGTTCTTTTTTAGAGAAGAAGGACCATGGACACACGTCTGTAAGGAGACCACAGTTCCTCTCCCTCTTTTGCAGTTACTCCTTGGTTCTGAAGTGTCTGTTCCATTTTTAGTCCTTCAGGCTCATGTTGGGATGAAAAGTGGCCACTTAAGGGATAGAAGATCACTATATATTGTTCAGTTTTTCTGTATGTTAAGGTGTTCAATCATTCATTCAGTGACAGACCATGAATGTTCAGCTTGGATAGTGACGTTGGGCAGCCAGTTCAATCTCTTCCAAAAGATTCCAGTTATAGAAGGTGAAGGCAATTTTGTTTAAGGTGGCCCATACTAGTCACCCTAAATAATTAGTCACCTCAGAAAATATTGGGTTGAAAGGTTGTCTTGATTTCATAGTAATTAAATGCCTTTTGACCATTTTTTCTGAAATGTCTGGAAAGGAGCTTGGTTTGAAATTTATACCTCTCAGTTACACTACGTAAACATGTTGAAACAGATGTAACTAATAAATTGTTTATTAAATATAGAAGAAACAATTCAGAGATAAGAAATTACATAATATAAAATATAGCTAATGAAATTCCTTCCCTCCCTTATTTTTCTTCTAAAGTCAGACCTTTCAGCCTGCTGTTGGATCTGTCTGAAAATCATAATCACAGCTTTAAAAGAGTTTGTAGGTACTTGGAATGTTTTCAGCACACATCTTGTTCTTATTATGAAAGACCTGGAAATGTTAGGAATAGAGGAATCTTTACAGACAGCATATGTGAAGATAATTTGTAGCAAGTGTCTTATATTTTCTTGATATGGTAATTTTATAGATGATTGCCTGTCCACACATTTCCTGTTGGTCCAGAAGTATGTTAAAAGTTCACATTGAGATTATGGAGAGAGAATGAGAAACCAAGGATCAATGGAAGAGTAAGGGTAATTCTAGGGATTAATTACTGCAGCTGTTTAGTTTCTGTCTTAGTCAGGGCACCTTGGTTGGGGCACCAGCACACAGGACTGTTATGTCTGAAAGATGTGAAGTTGCCATCCATAGCTGTGAGGAATTTGAAGGTGGTAGCAGGGTAACAAGTAAAGGCTCAGCAAAAGGAAGGTTCAGGGTGTATTTATAACCAAAACCTAAACAAACTGTTAGAATAAAGCTGAGGAATTAGTTTACTGAATCTCCTATTGACACATGTGCAACTTAACTTACAAAAATGTAAGAAAAGACATACTGGAATTTTCATGGATACTGTTGTCTAAACCAAATATGTGAACTGGTAAGTAATTTGATGCTGTCTGAATAACTGCAGATTTTTGTGTCAGTGTTAACTTCATAGGGGTTCCACTCCCCTGACTATTACTTGATGGTCTGTATCCTACAGAGCTCTCCATGCCTTCAGATCTGCTTATATTTCACAGGTGTAAGGCCAACATATGGGTCCTTATTTGTACCAACGTATATCCAGAGTAATTCCTCTGGATTTAGTGATGTTATATCATGTCTAAGTCAGCTCAATTTGTTGACTGTTTATTGGAATTATTGTGAAAGCATTGATGATAGTGAATAACAAAAATTATATAGAAAACTTTCTGTTGGAATATTAAAGAACTTCTTTAAAAAGAAGTCTTTTTTATCTTAATTATGTTTCTTTTTCTTCTTCTGCAGGAAGGGACACTAATGTGTTAGTTTATATTAAGAGGAGGCTGGCAATGTGTGCAAGAAAGCTGGGAAGGACCAGAGAAGCAGTGAAAATGATGAGAGATGTGAGTTTGTATTTTATTTGCATTTGATACATAGGTAATAAATAGTAGCACAGAAATGATGTATAGTAGTTACAAATTAGTATCTGTTCTTGAATCGTGCAGTTATACTGACAATCATTTTGTATGTGTACATATGTACATAAAGACTAAGCTAACACATCCCTTCTAAGGTTGCAAAAGGAACACTGAAAAATCACGAAATGCCAGCTGGATGGTTGTATTTCCCATCCTGCTATGTTTGCATTAGAGTGCTGCCTTTGGTTATTCAGTCATAAAGTTACATAGCTTCTTTCTCAGAAGACTTCTCTATGACACACAGTGAATTTGGATTTGCAAAGCTGCATTTTGGCTCTCTTCCTTCTTTGTGACACTGCTCAGAACTGAGGACAATGTTATTTATTAATGCAAAACTTATTACTGAGATGTCAGAAGAAAGTTATTAATCTGTAGTGAAATAATTTCCCTCTGAGATGGGGTATTATTTTATTCAGTATTTGTAGGCTACAAATTTGAAACATCAAACAGTAGCAAGCAGGGGAGTGGCAGTAAGTGCATCAGTCCCCATGAGGCTCTGTATAAGTTACAAGTGCATAAAAGGCTCAGCTTTAGAGATAGCTGTGCACACCTGGCATTTCTTTGATTGAGATCTCCTGCATGCAGGTGAGTAACACAATAGTTTGAGGCAGTGACTTGCCACACCCAAGGTAGCAAGTCTATGACTTGGTGATATGTCTGAAAACATTGAACAGAGCTCATCATGATGCTAGTCTTCATCCTAAATAATCTACCAAATGGCAAGTGGGGAGCAATTTTATTTCCTGTCTCTGGTTGAGGTTTTTCAGGCATACAACTCAGCTTCTCAGAATCACTAGGCTGCCAGATAGAGGTGTTGAAAAAGAACTTGTCGAAACCCAGCCATTGTATAGCTATGAGTGTGAGAAAGAGGAACAAGGAGGAAAAGACCTGCTTTTGCAGCCTCTTAGTCAACAAAGTCAGTTGAGAGAAAATGTTTTCAGTCCAGCCAGCTCCACTGATTATTTATCAATTTCATTACACAGGCACACCGGGACAAATACTGAAATGCTGGTGGAAACATTGAAATTCTAAGTTCTGGCACTAATACACAAGAAAGATACAATTTTGAATTTCACGTTCAAATGTCACACATCATAATTATGGCAACTTCTGGAGCTTAATATGGGCTGCTGAATGTGTCTTACGATTTGTAGATAGGGCTGTGTTGAACAGATCTTCCATGAGCCTTTCCTCAGTTGATGTCAATACATCATTTGTTAGACGTTTGGAGGACTGAAGACCCTTTCCTCTGTAAGAGCATCATGCTAAAACAAAAGGGCTGGATGCAAGACAGCAGAGGCAGAAAGGCAGAGTTTCAAATTTCTAGAGCTTTAACACAGATGAATGCATTCTGTATTTTTCCACATACAGACACTTAGCCAAATCCTCCAAACTGAATTTAGATGCCTCTAGAGCTCTTTGTTGTGAGTGAGCAGAGCTGAGAATTAGCAGGTCCCTAGATGAAATATAAAAGCAACAGTACCTCTAGGTCACAACTCCAACACATTAAGAGCAAGAGTAGCATCAAGTCAGCTTTGCAGATGCTTTTCTTAGACTGACATGGAGCTATTTATTTCTGATGAATGCACACCACTATTTATTCATGGATGACATAAATAATATATTTATGAAGAAGTTTGAACATGAATGTGTCATTGATGGTTTCTGTGTGATTGATGAGGGAGGAGATGAATTTATTCACTCTGAAAAGAGCATGAAGAATATGTTGGCTGGGGACTGCTGAATCTAGCATCATGGAACGGAGGGTGGAGGCCTTGTTTGTGTTTGAAAGATTGAAAACAGATTTCTCAAGGCATGGAACATGATGGAAATGAAGTGTTAAGAGGTTCATGACACCATCTGGGAAATATGATTGGGATGTAGTGAGTCTTTACCACTTTGAAAAAATAAAATATTTGAGAGTGTTTAATTCATGGCAAATACAAGGCCATCTTGAGGACATTACTGATGGATTACACTGTCTTACTTCAATTTTATGTAAGAAAAGAGAGAGATCCTGCTTAAAACACCTTAATCAAAAGAAAATGAGTTGCTGGTGACTTTAATAAGATTTTGGATAATTGGTTTTATTACACTGTCGGTAGGAAAATCGTATTGTTTAGTACTTACTGAGGATATTTTAATTATTTCTTCTATTGTTGAAATCAAATAGGAACCTGTCACTTCTGTGACTGATATTGAGATAGCATCATTTTGTTGACTTTACTGCTCTGATTTCATTCACTTAGTTCAGTAGAATTAATCAGAATGACTAACCTGCAATTTTCATGGAAACTTGTCATTTAAGTACATGTAGGTGTTGGTTTTGCTTATATTTCTGATGATAACTATTTACTATGTTTCACTATAGAAACCAGCAGCTGTCACTATTTGTATATATTGAGTTAACTTGTGAGCTCATTTTGATTAGCGTGTTGTTGGAAAAGCTCCAGCCTAGTCACCAGAGTTGTTCCAATTTTATTCCTCTTTATATAGAGCATGATATGGTTTGTGAGGAACCAGCTCTCTTTTACCATCCCAGAGGAAAAAATCTTCAGTGCTGGTTGTTTTATTTGTTAGGCTGATTGTGTTAGGAGGATTTAAACTAGCGTGTTCCAAACAATGCTGGAAAATCCAGTATGTGCAGAGGAGAAAGGCTGTAGTGGTGACTGTGAGATTTTTCAGTGTTTCTAATCTTGGGGATGTTATTGCTTTCAATAAAAAATAAGACAAGAAAATAGGTGCTGAGGAGCAAGGATAGCTTTTTGCTGTCTGCTGATTCCCTCACCTTTATAGGAGAAGAAAACTATACTGCATGTACATTTTATGTTTTTCATTGATTGGAAGCCAAGATGTGTGGAGGGTACGCAAAGGCTCTTTCTGTTCTTTGGCAGTGATTGGAGCAGTAGTTGTCTGTGCTATTGAATTTCCCTTGACTGAGACACTGAGTATCCAGGTGGAAGCACACAGTGCAAGAAACTGAATTGTCAAATTAATTCTAGCTTCTTAGGATTGTCCTGGTTTGGGTTGTGGAACAAGCTTTCATTGAAGGGTGATGTGTGTTTACAAAAGAGAAGGGAGGCAGGCAGAAGGCGTGCTAATGGATGGATTGAGCAGATCTCAATCATTTTCTCTTTTAGAGAGATGAAAGAAACCTGTTCTCCTCAGGATGTTTTTATCTCCTACACTGTGGCCCTGCAATTCCCTGGAAGCTGCTTTGTAGTCTTAGCAAGTCTATGTTTCTGGGCAGTAGTGGAGTTGCTGCTTACCACATCCGTTGCAGCTTTGTTTAGCAACAAGTAGCATTTAGGAAGACACCCTCCAGGTCTTTCCTCAGCACTGGAGGTTAGAAAACAAAACACTCTTTAAGGGTCAGAAATGTACATTTTATTTTATTTCTGGCATCAGTCGCGTCTGCTGAGAAATAACTGTTACTATTGTGGACCTAGCTCTGAGAATCTTGCTAGAGATATTTCACTTGGGTTTGTACGTTTGTTTCAGTAACCAACTGCAGTGTCTAAAATGCATGTTTTGTGTCACAAAGCACAGCAAGGAACTATCTGTACCAATGCAGCTTGCACTATTAGAGAGCTGAGTGCTTATCAGTGTGCTGCATGATAACTTCTTTAAACACTTGTGCAGCCCTGAACTTTTCAGGTTTTTTAAAAGGTAGTGTTACATGGAGACATCAAAAGGGTACTGAACCGTACTAAGTCAACTGATGATATGGGCAGGTTGGGCTTTTATCTTTTTATGACCAACAGTATTAGTGGTTTTTGCTGGTGTGCCAGTTCTGTAAATCTAGCATGCTTCCCTGGCAACCTCTTGTATTCGACTTTGAATGCTCTTTTCTATTCAATATTCTCTTGAATTCTGTATTTCTGTGTGCATTGCTGATTGCAAGGGGAGCACAGAACCAGAACAGTGTTCTGCACCTTGTATTGTCAGGCTTTGTGAAAGAAAAGAATCCTGACTGCTAATAAAGATGTTATGATCCCTAGCAACTTAACAATGCAACTTCTGCAGCTGCTTGCGTCCGTGCCTACTGTCTGTCTCTCCCAAATTCTTCTGTGCTTTAGGCAAGGATTAGTGAGTCAGTCTTTGGCATGTGTTACACAGGTCAGGCGAAGCAAGCTTCTTTGCCTTGAATGCAATGCTAACTTTATTAAAATCTGTAGCATTTATTCAAAATGTCATTTATTAAAAGTGGAAGCAAAAATTCTTCTGAGTTCAAGAGTCTGAGAGCTACCTTTTATATTTTAGATAAGCTCTACTCCTGTGAAGCATGACATTTGCCAGTCTCCACTACAGAAGAGTATCTTCAGTTAGTTCTTGTTCAGACACAGAAATACTGCAATAACAGTAGAATATCCTTCATTTGAATGGATTCTAAAGTAAAACAGAGATGCCTGGGATTGCCCTAATGCTATTTATCCATGCATTTTACCTGCATGCAAATCAGACCCTCACTTTCTGTCACGGCAGTGATCCTATGCAAAACCCTCAAACCTAGAAATGTTGTGGCTATCACTTAAGCCTGATAATAATGCTTTTCATATAATCTATGTTTCAAATTGTTACAGCTGGGCAACTACAATAAGAGACTGACACTTTAGTATGTGTTGAAAATATGCATTTTTCCAGCAAAACATTTGAGCTTTCTCACAATATTTGTCTGATACACTTAAGGGCGTCTTGCACCCAAATGGAACGAAATGCCTGTGTGTTGTCCTCTAGAGCAGAATACTTGTTTCCTCTACTAAGGCTGTACAGCAATGTCAGTTTTTGTTTTCCTGTTGAAATATGTCTTCAGCCTGCTGAGCATATAGTTTGTATTATCAAACTCTATGTGGAACAGACAACCACATTTGATTTTTCATCATATGTAATGTATATATCCAAGGGTTTCACAGAATCATAGATTG